TGCATGCATGTACTGACTCACAACACTGACAACATAAGAAATATCTAGTCGTGTCATGCACAAATACAGCAGTCGGCCCACCATTCTTTGATATCTCCCCACATCCTTTACCAACTCACCATCCACACCATTAATTCTGTGATTTGGACAAATAGGAGTGTCTACTAGTTTGGTCCCTAGCTTCCCAGTTTCCCGCAGTAGGTCAAGTACATACTTTCTCTGTGAAATGAAGATCCCATGCTTGGATCTTGCAACTTCAATCCCTAAGAAGTATTTGAGTTCACCAAGATCTTTGATCTCAAATTCTTAGTGCAATTATTTTTTGAGATCATCAATCTCCTCCAGATCATTTCCTGTCACTACTATATCATCCACATACACAATCAGAATTGACACCAGAGCATCTCTCCTCTTCACAAAGACGGTGTGATCAAATTGTGTCTATGTGCATCCAAAACGGATGAGTGCCCCTCTGAACCTGTCAAACCAAGCCCTAGGTGATTGCTTCAGTCAATACAGAGATTTTCTGAGTCTGCACACTTTTCCTTTACCAACAATTTTCATAAAAGCCTGTTGGAATGTCCATATATACCTCCTCCTATAAATCACCATTGAGGAAAGCATTTTTGACATCAAGCTAGAACAAGGGCCATGAATAGGTGGTTGCTAGAGATAAAAGGATACGAATTGAATTCATCTTAGCTACTGGTGCAAAGGTTTCCAAATAATCAAGGAGTCTTATGGTGTATGCTTCAGTTCCTGTGCAGTTCTGGGGAGATGTAGTTCTTATAGCCGTGCATTTGATTAACCGTGTTCCTTCACGGACTTTGGGGTTTAAGGTGCCATTTAGCCTTCTTTTTCCAGATGGAGAGATATTTCATATACCTCTAAGGGTTTTTGGTTGTATTTCTTTTGTTCACATTCTTGGCCCTCATCGCAAGAAATTTGATCCTAAGGCCAAGAAATGTGTTTTTCTTGGGTATGCTTAGAACCAAAAGGGGTATTGTTGTTATGACCCAGTGTCGAGGAGCAGATTTGTCACTATGGATGTTACCTTCTTTGAATCCACATTCTTCTTCTCGAGTGGTTCTCAGGGGGAGAGTTTTGGGGAGGAGAACTCACAATTTGTTCCTCTTCCTGTTTATGTGGTGCCTCCATCAGTTCAGCCAGCAACTACATCAATTCAGCTAGCACCTGCACCTCCAGTTTCATTACCTGAGCCACTACGGACAGCCTCACAGAAATATCAACGCCCGCAGACGATGGTTGACTCCACACATCCTCAACCCACACCACTCTTTGTCAGTCCTTCTAAAACACTAGATTCGGCAAATACAGTTCCAGGTATTCCTCTTGAGCCTAAGCCTGTTATGTTTTCTGATGATAATGTTTCTGTCCCTAACACCATTGTTGCAACTGATCCCACTGACCTTGATCTTCCCATTGCACTTCGTAAGGAGAAGAGAAAGTGTACAACCCACTGCATTTCACACCATCTTTCCTACAATGCCTTATCCACCTCCTATCTAACAACTAACATAAAACATCTACTCAGAAAAACATAATAAAACTAATTAATCTTCAACAGAAGCAAAGGATAACAGTCGTTACAAGCATCCCAATGGGAGGCGTGAGGTGTAGCGTCACTCTTCAACAAAGAAATACAACAGATTCACACATGGACCCAGTACATCTGGTCCCTAGTTACCCCTTGCTTAGCTAGAGAATCAGCTAGTGCATTGGCCTCCCTTCCCACCCATTGTGTTAGCCAAATCATTGAATCTGGGTTTTTTAGCCAACCCACCACCACCTTGGAGTCCCCTTCTATCACCAATTTCTCCATGCCTAACTTTTTTGCAATTTGGGTGCTTTTTGGGCTGCATATAGTTCTGCCTTTAAAGAGTCTCCATTTCCTATTTGGGTGCCTTGTCTCTTAAAGCCCCTCCTATTCCAGATGGACCTAGGTTGCCTTGACTGCTCCCATCAAAGTTTAGTTTCAACCAATCTTCATTTGGAGGTGTCCAAGCCATCCCTGCTTTAACTTTCTACATTGCACTAAAGGCTACCAAGCTCCAATTCCTCCAAATATCATCAAAGGAGAAAGATTTGAATAGGTACGTTGTTTGTAACCAATGTATAACCATGGTCATTACACACTCCATAATTTGTTGTTTACTTCTTTCATTCTCTTGGAAGATTCTGGTATATCTTTCTTCCCATAATGTCCAGATTACTGCTGCTCTAGTGCACCTCCACATTATTCTTCTCCTTTTCTTCGGTAAACCATAGGTAGATGGATCAAACATCATTTTAATCTCTATTTGCGTAAGTGATAACAAGATTCATTATCGGATTTACATAGAGCGCACCAATTCGGGGAGATACACAAAGAAGGTCTTTTCTTTTGCAACGAATTCAAAGTGTTAATTTTCCCAAGAGCCACTTCCCAATAGAAAACTTTAATTTTAGGGGGAATCGGCTGAAACCAAATTTCTTTCCAAGGAAAGGACAAAGAGGAAGGGGACTAGCAAAGAGCTTTAAAAAAGGATGCACAAGAAATGAAACCTTTAGGACTTGGGTTCCAAATTCTTCTATCTAGATTAGAAAGCTCTAAGCAGACTTTATCAAGGAGAAGTAGAAGCTCTGACAGACAAGTAGCCTCCTCATCCCTCAACCCCTGCCGAAACCCAAGATCCCAGTTAAAACTCAAAGGCAAAGAAGGAAGGACAGGAAAATTGGAGATCACCTCATTTTTATACAAAGAGATAGAATACAATGAGGGGAACAAAAAGCCGGTTACCAAACCAAATGTCCCCCGCTTAAACGAATTAAATTCCCTGAGTAAACATCATACCTGATATACTTGAGGAATTGAGGAGGAGGCTATGGATCTCCTTCCAAGGTGCTGCCAAGGTAGCCCTTCATGATACACCAGCATCCCAACCATTCTCTGATCTCCCATGTATGCTAGCCAATATCTCAACCCACAAATTTTCCCTTTCTAAGGCCATCTCCATAATCATTTCCCTAAGAGCGTTGTATTCTTCTTTCTTACATTCCCAAGACCTAAACCACCCTCTTCCTTGCTTCTACACACCACCTCCCTATTTATTAAGTGATCTATCCTGGTCTCTCTTGGCTCCCAAAGGAAATCTCTCATGATTTTTTTCAGTTTCTTTTCTTCCCTTGGTGGGATCCTAAAAATAGAGAGGAAATAGATGGGTAGGTTAGCCAATGTTGATCTTGTCAGAGTAATCCTACTTCCCAAAGAGATATAATTTCTCTTCCAAGCAGCCAGTTTCTTTTTACATCTTTCTACAATTGGGTTCCAAAAGCTGCTTTCCTTCGGGTTTGCACCTAGAGGTAGCCCTAGATAGGTCAAAGGCCAAGGGGTGATATGACATTCTAAGCAACATTTTTCATAATGTTAGAATCCAAAAATTAATAACTATTTTAAATAGTATGTACTTTTCATAGATGTTTCCATGAATCCATGTTTTCTTATTTTTCCAAGTCAGACTCTTGAACATGTACCGGATTCCTGCRCCTGTGTTCATATCCACGCAACACTGACTAAAAGGCAATGTTATAAGTCATTCAGTTTAGCCACTTCAGCTGTTATCAAAAAGAGTTTCAATTTCCTAATCAATTTAAGGGTAATGGAAGTTCCAACTTTTTTTTTTGGATCTTTGCAGATTATAAGTGATTGGGAGAAGAACAAGTCTTGGCTCCCCAAAGCTAGAATAGATGAGGTATCAATATTTCATCTGATTCAACTTATTTTGTTTTGACTATAATAGATCAGTATTGGGCTTTTTATTGATATTTTATGATTAAGAAACATGATAAAGATCAAGAATGATATCTGGTACTTCAGGTTTTGAACGATGCTGACAAGGTCAAGAGTTGGTTGGAGGAGAAGGAGGCTGAGCAGCAGAAGTATGCTATTCCTCTCTCTTTCTATAATCGCTGTGTTAATGAGCTACTATTTTATTGATGCATTGATGAGTATATTATTCACAAAAAGAGGCAATAGAGATCTGCTAAATCATTTAATGGGACCTGTCCTCTGGTGTAACCTAGGTACATGGCATAGGTACTACTAATTGGCAAAGGGTCAAGAGTTGTTTTTATGTATACTCCTAAAAATTCTGACATGGAGACACAGCTATATAAGAATATATAAAATAAAATTTCAGAAATTAAGAGAGCAAGTATAATATTTGATCTTACTGGGCCCCAAATCCCAGTCCCAAGTCTCAACTACTGTCTTAAAACAAAAGGACTATGCTATAGTGTAAACTAGTGCTAAATTTTCCTTTGCTCATAGTGGCTTATCCAAGTTCATGTAAGACATGTCTCCAGTATCTTGCATGCATGAGTACTGTTTAATAGGTATAATGTTTCTTGGGGCTGGAGCTTGCCAGTGGCAAGTCTGTACTTTTGTGAACAACATGGGCCCTATTATTTGTAAATACACATTGTAAGCCATTTTTTGGATAGAAAATTTATTGACAGAGTTACTTTCAAGTTTCAAGAGGTGAAAGTTTCCTTGTATGTTTCTTCTAAACGTAAACCCCTATTTTCTCTATTTTCTCTCATTTTTATATATTCTCTTCCCTTCTAATTCTCTGTTATAAATTTAATAATCAAGATCTTCTTGTTAGCATCTATTCTAGATGTCAACAAGACTTCAGTTCACTCCTTGGGACCTTGTAGACTTGAGTAAGTTTCTCATTCAATTTCCTTAGTTTTGAGTTCAACTTTTCTTGGTCTTTTTTGTACAAGATTAGTTCATATCCATTTTAAATTATACCTCACTTATTATTTTTCATTATAATTCATCCTGCTATGTTTCAACCCAAATTGCGATCAAAGTCCTAGTTATTAGGATTTTAGTATCTTAACAAAATGAGGACTTTCAGCCTTTTGCTCCTAAACTACTAAGAACCTTTTAAAGTTAAATTAAGTTTTTCATTTGGTGGAGAAGTGGATTGGAACTAAAGACTGAACTGATGGGAAGCCGAAGTGGAGAAGTTTTTCATTTTGTGAGTAGATGGAAGTCTGAACTGATTATTGAAGCGAAGAAATTTTTATTTGAGAGCGGAAGGGCCAGAGGAAAGAACCTGTTAAAAATTAGGGAGGATAGGAAGGCCACGATACTATTGTTTGAGGAAGCAGTGGCATGGTTAAGGGCTTTATTGATG